CATTTTTATTTATATAGATGGGAAGTTTTTCAGTTGCCAGGATTCCTATGTCTCATCCCTTTCTTTTCAATAAATCTTGGTAAAGAAGCCATGTGAGAATGGTGCTTCCGGTGTAGACTAAAGAGCCTGACATTTGCCTTCTGCTTTCAGATAGCAGCTTGGTAGTTCCTGCTGCCACCATCCATCTTCCACAGGGCACCTTTCACCTAAATCCCATTATGTGAGAGAGATAGTGCTCTTATAATCTGTGCTGCCTTATTTACTCAAAAAGTAAATGAAAATATATCAAATAAAAGGTTAAAAAAAGGTAAAAACGTTAACTCTCCCACCTAATTTCAATAAGTTCCCAACTTATTGAAAGTAAATAAAGTAAATCATAAACAAAAGTAAATACAACAAATAAAGCAAATAAAATAAAAAAGATAAATAAAAGTAAGTAAAATTAAAGGTGAAAAAGTGAAAAAAAGGAACTAATTTCAATAAAATCCCAACATTAACCTGAGTCTAAATGGAATGATCCTAATCCTTGCTTTTTCTAGCCTTGGTTAACAGCTTCTTTGTTTGTTTCCTCTTCTAGTTCTCTCTGCATTTAAAATGACCAAAGCTTTTCTTTATCTCCCGCAGAGGGAAGGCTGACAAAAGCTGTTTCTAGGCATATGGTGACAAAGAGCATCTCTCACTCAAGGATGTGTATTGTGTGGCTGAACTTGTTTAGGGTGAAAGCCTGATTTGCAATCTAGGGGATGGATCCAGAGGGCCTTCATAAGCCCTCTTCTTTGCACAAGAGTGTTTTAATAGTGCAAGATATTATGCTTTGAGGGCCACCCAGAGTTGGTAATAATATGAGTGGTTTTATAAATGTTTTAAATAAATACATTTAAAGAAATAAGATCCTTGTGTGAAAATACAACTGTGATCCCAAGATGTTCTCTGCATGCTGAAACATTGGCTAATGTTTCAAAATATGTGTTAGCACAAGGCCTTAAAGAGGTTCACATATTTTATTTGCTAGTGTACAAGAGTTCACCGAGTAGAAGTTCATCTTGGAAGCCAACTATTAAAATAAAATATTTTTCTTTCCTGCTGAGAAAACTTAAACTGATCTTCTGAAAGTAAAATGGAATGCATTTCTTACAGAACTGGTTTAAGTCAATCCAATAGTAATGAGTAATTATTATATGTATTCATAGCCCAAGCTTACAGATCAGATTTGCAGACAATTTCTACTTTTTCTCTTGACAACTGTAGTAGCTTTCCATACATATGAACAGTAGCTCTAGAGCAGCAAACTTCAAATTTTAGATACCCAAGGAACCCTTCTCAATGTGAAAAATCAATGCGTTAATGTGTTTCATATGAGATATTTTATCTGAAGAAAATAAATTAATGTTGCAATTACACATTTCGTACTATGTAAGCAGAAATGCCATGTTGAACCCTTGAATGATTCTCATGGAGTTCTGAGGAATATAGTTTGAATACCGTAGTTCTAGACTAGGAGTGTCCAATCCTGGCAACTGGGGAATTCTGGGAATTGAAGTCCACAAGTCTTAAAGTTGTCAAGGTTGGACACTCCTAGAGTAACCATTTCTTTTAAGAGCATTGTATGAAGTAGAGCATTTCAGACACAATGAGAGGGAGACAATGAGAGAGAGACATTTATACCTCAAGAGCATTAAGTGTGTCTACAATTGTTATTTTCATTCTAGGAAACCATCCAACTTTCTGTTACGCTGAAGAATGGACACTATGCCCCACCTGCACATAAAAGGCTGGTATGTTTAAGCACACGTTATTTTCAACCACAGTTAAAGAAAACTAAATATGGAAATGATAAACTCTTCAGATATAAAATCAGAGGAATCTATTATTGTGACACAATTCTAAACGTGCATAATACGTTCAATCTTAATTTTACTGGCTAGAATTCTAAATCCTCAACATAGATCCTAAATAACATAAATTTTGATTTATATAACTGGACAAGTAGAACTGAAGTCTTAAGATGATCTTGGGTGAGCTCTATTCTCACCGTACCACTTTACTTGGGGCAAAGTTTGGAGAATACATATTCTGATGTGCAAAAAGGAAGCCAAGATGAAATTAAAATTGGGCACACGCCTATTACATATAAACAGGCTAATATCTAGATGGCATCCTTCATTCCACCTGGTACAGTAGATCAGTTCAGGTGGCCTAGGACAGACTAGGTGCCCTTCAACAGAGCTGATCATCTGAGGAACCCAGAGAAAAGGGCAAGATAACTGATAACCTCTTGTCCTCTAGAATTTGCCTTTTGACACAAATATAATATCTGCCAAATGATAGGTTTGGCCTTGACCCATTACATTTAAAGACCCCTCCTACTGACCTAACATTTGGGACTTTCCCTGTCACTATCTTAATTTATGTATGGTATGCCTGTTAGAAATAGCCCTTCTGTGTAGAGCTATTTGCAATATTAGTTTATTTGTAAAACAAAGTATATTCGTAAAACAAAGATAAGGTGTGTCAGCCCGGCTTTGAATGTGCGTAGTATGGAAAAGGATTCCAGCCAAAGCATACAATAAACTATAATTCTGTTTTGGAGACTATAATCCATATTCCGGACGCCTGGCACTTTCGCACAACTAGTGGTCCTCAAAGGAAAGTTTCAGTACAGTATTTCCAGGTGCTTAACTGCTTGCCTGGTTTTGTAACTTCATTTAATTGTATTAGTTTATTTAAGGAGTACTTTGTATGAGATGGTATTGCTGCAGAGCAGAAGTACGCTAAACTTGTACTTTAAATTCCCATAATCCTTCACCAGTTTGTTTAAAGTGTGTTGCGGTTTAACACATTTATAGGCATCAGGATGGGAAACCCTGGACTGTTCCATGTGGTAACAACTCTCTGAGGCATCAGGCAGGGTTCAGTTTTTTTCCCATCAGTTACTATGAATCTTGAAAAGAAAGACATGCCCGGGATTGGAACAGTCTGTAAGACAAGCTTATAGTATTTTGTGCTCTTCCTTCTTCTTCTGCAAGAAGGCAGATTTCTTCCAGGCCTCTAAAATCCATCTGGCAAAAGGACCTTGTGAAACTGAACTGATCCCAGTGCAGGAAATCTCTCCTCAGCTGTAGGTTAACTTTGCTCTTCAGCTTTCTTTCTGGTCTGGAGAAACTGAGTCGAGGCAGGGCTCCCTCCCTAATGGCTGCTACCCAGATGCTTCTTTCATCACTTTTCAATAATGGCTTTCCCTCCCCAATCCAGCACTTCCTGTTTTTCACATTTCATTCCAGCTTATTACCTGAGGGAAAAAATAATGAGAATGTAGGAGCCAAAAGAGGAGCCAGTAACTTGTACTCAGCATCTGGAGCTGACTGCCTCTGAGGACTGAATCAGGCCCATCTCATAGAATCATAGAGTCAGAAAGGACAGCACACTGCTGAGTCATACCTAAGCAGTGGCCCACTAGGGCACCTAGATCCCTCTCTCATGGGCACCACTGTTGAGACAGGCACTGCCTATCCCAGACCTAGACATCTTGTTTTTCCTACTTAAATGCAGGACCTTCCTTTTCTCGCCATTGAACTGCATCAGAACTAGAGCCATGTCTTTTTTTCCAGCCAGAAATTGCTCTGTTTGCCCTGTTCCTCAGAATAGTTCTTGCAGCAAGTACCAAATTAAAATAACCACCACACTGGTGTGCTCTGTTGCACATCAAGGCGGAATTAATACTTGTTTAATAGGATTTCAGCCTCATCAAAATAGGCAAAGGTGAAAGTTGACTGGAAAAAGGAAAATGGGAGCAAGGTTTGCATGCTAATAAAGTATGAGTAGTCCTCAACTTATGACTTTAGTGACTGTTCCGACTTACGACTGAGCCCCCCCCCCAAAGGTACTTATGACCCAGTTTCCAAATTCCAATGGTCGCCTCTTTCTTAAAGTCATGTGACGAAATTTTGGATACTCAACCGGCCAACATTTTGAAAGATAAATGTCTCCCCTCCCAGTCGTGTCCGATTCTAGGGGGTGGTGCTCATCTCCGATTCACAACCAAAGAGCCAGCATTGTCTGAAAATGCTTCTGTGGTCATGTGGCCAGCCTGACTGTATGCTGAAGGTGCACGGAACATTGTTGCTTTCCCACCAAAGTGGTACCTATTTATCTACTTGCATTTGTGTGCTTTTGAACTGCTTGGTTGGCAGGAGCTGGAACAAGTAATGGAAGCTCACTCTTTACATGGTATTTAGATCTCAAATTGCCAGCCTTCCAGCCCACAAGCCTAGCAGTGGCCAAGTGGCTCACATGTACAAGGCGATTTATGACATTTTTGCCAAAAAGCAATGTTTCCCTCTGATTTCTGGCAAAAATGTCCGATAGCGAATAATGGATTCACTGAACAACTGTGATATTCATTTTACAACCGCCACAAAAAAGGTCATAAAATTGGGTCCGTCACATGATGACACATTTACAACTGTCATGATTTACAGCCATCATTGGCAGGCTCATTACAGTCATAAGCCGAATACAATCTGTCTATGAAATTAAATAGCATAAAAATAAGGTAAAATATTTATTGGACCTCTAGCATATCAAAATGACTTGTTATAATGCAGGAATGAAAAAGAAATCTACCTAAAGTGCTGAGGTGATAGAAATATAGTTTGCAGGAAAGGACTTAGGATGGATCTTTCTAAAAATGTCATTATTTTATGTGCTGTAAGTGCTGGACATAGGCAGTAGGCTACACTGTTTTTCCCAGCACATACCTTATTAAAGAATCAAGAGAATAACATAACTCAAATTTGCAAAAAAAAATGTTGCTTATCTTTCTAAAAAGGAACCTCCTCTAACTCAACAGACTCAAAATGTACCAAGAAATGGGATTGGCTTTGAAAATCACGAACTCATCACAGGTAAATTTACTCTAGTTTCTCTCATAAAGTATTTATTCTTGCTTTAGGAACAGAAACTGGAATTAAAGCTGCTATCTTGTTTTGTGCACTAGGAAATGAGGGTGTTTCTGCTGAGTTTGGAGAAAGACATCAGCCAAGTCAAACTGGTCTCTGCAGAAACAGCTACCCACAGCAGAGTGAGGAGGAAAAGGGTTACTCCAGCTTGTCACAAACACACAGCATGAAGCAGAGGAATACTAATGACATTATGCAAGGTATTGGCTAGAATGATACTGTTCATTAATGCATTAAGACTGTAGCTCTGTATACTCATATATAGTGATAACTCCCTTGAATTCATTGGAAAAGCCTAATCGTATTACATCAGTTGTTTTGTTACAGCTTTACCCAACAAAACTAGCTTGAGAAACAATATGCTTAGGCACATTTGCCCTATATAGGCATCCCAAGTCCTATAGAGAAATCCCTAATTTTCAAATATCCATTCTGATTATGCAAACAGAACTCAAAGGAGCTCTCACTTTCCATGTCCTACCATGCTCAGATGATTCCCAAATTTGCCATATATTCTATCCTTACAAACCACATTTATACACCACACATAAATTGCCTTTGTTTTTTTTAAACTTCTCATTTTTTCTTTTGAGGATCAATTGCATCAGGTCCATCCAACAGTAACTTGCCCAGTCTTCTATTTCTAATGAGTGAGTCTCCTCACTCATTTCCTTCTAGTCACCTTTTTGATCCACAGTTACTCAGTACCCAGACATTCTCGATTCTACCTCTCCCTGTTTTACCATACACATTTCTTAAGTAACCCATTCCCACTGCATTCAACTTGTTTCTCCAGACATACCAATTCTCACTTCCCTATAACAAAGTGGGCAGAAGTGTGCTTTTTTGGTGACAAACATTCATTCCATGCAATGGACCACATGTTACCTACTAACTTTTTACTAGCATTTATATATCTTAACATTTCTCCATCAGTTTTCTCATCTTTAATAAACATTCTATCAATATACACAAATTCATCTATTTATTCTAGTTTTCCCCACTCGTGTAATTTGCAATCATTTATTCCATTTACCCATCAAACACATCTATAGCATATGATGATTTCAGATCAATAGTTCTGGTTATATCATATAGTCAATCGAAAACTTGAATTATCAGCTGATAAAACTGCATCAACAACATGTACAGTAAAATGTACCCTGATAAATGTAGCTGTAATGTTTCTCTAAAGAATTTCTTTTTACAGGTATCCCTCAGTACAACAAATAACCAAAGAGATATCACATATCTTTGATTTGCTCCTGGCTCATTATGGAAATATTGAATAATTCATTAAGCATTTTATTTATTCTCCCTTGCTTTACTTTTATCAAATACAACTCTTTCCATTTCAGCAACCAATCATCAACTTCGAATTTGAATAAACTATTTGATAATTCAAGCTTATTCACTGTCATCTAAATCAACAAACACGCAGTAAATATTATTTCACACTTCTTAATAATCTGCTAAAAAGTAAAAATCTGAGGTGCTCATGCACACTACCTGACATTAAGCCATATAGCACTCATCACATTCGTTCGTTGTTACCTCTTGTTATCTTTCAGGCAAAAATCTGCCAAATGCATTCCTGGGTACACTTAACAAACAAATTCCCATATAGTTTTTCATTCATTCTTGCTACCTTTTTATTTAGGAAAACAATAACCATATTCTTCCAATTATCAGACACAGCTTCAGTTTTCACGTAGCTATTACATTAATCCACAGTCATCCCATAAATAAATCACATCTTTATTTTAACATGTCTCCTGTTAAACTGCAACCATATCATTTTTCAATGTGCTCAAAGCTTATATGGCTTCACTCCTTTTTTTTTTAAAGTAACATTTATAGCATTAACTTCAGTTTCACTCTTTGGCATATTATCACTCCCATATAAATCTCTAAATCAGGGGTGTCAAACTGCCGACCTGTGGGCCGGATGCATCATAGCGAAACCATGCCCACCCCATTGTTGGCAATGGCAAAAAAAAGTCACATCACGACACATCATGTCACATTGCGAGTTTGACACCCCTGCTCTAAAGTATTCCTTCCAGCATGCCCTCACTTCACTTTCATCCCAGATCATTTCCATGACTTGTCTTTTTTATTTCCACACTTTTTTGGAGGATTTTTTTTAATCCCTTTTCACTCCCCTTTCAAAATAAAATTTTCATTTCTTAACAGTTCTTTGCTTTTTTGATTACATTCTTTGCAATTCTCTTTTTCTTTGTGTACATATTACTGTATATAATAGAAGTCAGTCATCCTCAATTTTTCCAGCAATTGTTCTTTTATATGAATCCAATCTGCCTTCATTCAATTGGCAGATTAATCTCTCTTCTAATAATTTTTCATAAAATGATGGTACTTTCTCTGTCTGCAGTTTCTATTTTCTTTCCTTTTTACCAATGTTCTTTTTGCCCAAAGACCTACTCTTGACACCACTAGAAAAAAATGATCTAGCCAATGGTGGGACTCAGCCAGTTCGTACCACTTCGGCAGAACCAGTAGCTAATTTTTTGTTGCCCAGGCCCAGAATGGACTTCTGGAAGCGGCATCCACACAGAGAATCGGTTGTTCACATATTTGAATCCCACCACTGGATCTAGTTCATATTTAGACCCTTTCATTACACTTGTAACCTTCACTAATTAATTATAAACAATTAAATCAATTATTCCTCAACTATTTAAATAAATAACAATTAAATCAAGCATGTTACATTTCTTTTCCATGTTTTCATCAGTGGACTTACTCTTAAAACACAAATTTGAAAAAATAAACTTTTTCTAAGCAAATATGCCCCAAACTATTGCCATTTCCCTATTTTGGAATTCTAAGTACAAATACATTTTCTATATACTCAGTCACTCTCACTAGTTCCTTTATGCCTCCTAATGGAAAAATGTTTTGTCCTGGATCACATTCATTTAAAATGTTGCAGATTTTTTTTACTATACTCATCCATTATCATAATTCACTGGGTTGTAACTTGCAGTTATCATCAACCTGAAATATGACTTTCATAACCCCTCACACAGTGCAAATGATACTTAGTCACACTTTTTGATATACATTTGAGCAATTTAATTCATAATAAACATTCATTCATTTCCTTGTATTTATCTTTCTACAAGTTCAGTCCACCTTTATTGAGACCTATTAATCCCTTTGACTTTCAGACATACATTCTTTAGGCAAGGATTTTGAAAATATTCAAATTGAAATCCAATATTTTCTTTCTTTTATTATGTCATCCTTTGTACTTTTTACTCCTACACATTCCAAGTAACAATCTTCCTTATGCTGTGGTTATCACAAATTGGGCACTTAGATTAATTACAAGCCTTAATCATACTTATGACTTGTAGAATTACCTGCAGATAGTGCTGATACTACTGATACTATTTGATGCATGTCATCCAGAATATCAAATAGTTCCAATGCAAGCAGAACTTGATTTTAACTGAGCATGCTTTTGCTCTCATCTCGGCAATAAGGAGATACATGGGATATCAATAACCTTGTGTTTTTAAACTTTAAAATAATTTAAATAGTAATTTAAGCTATTTTTATTTAGAAGGGAAAACTGATGTGGTTTGTGTGCCTATATGCATGTGCTGTGTATGCATGTGTATGCTAATAATAAAGATGAGTCATTCCGTTGAAAAACAAGGCTGGGTAAAGACATGTGAAAAGAAGGAATTGCTTCCTTGATGATTTTTTCCCCCTGCCATCCATATTTCATATTTTAGGCAAGAATTTTGAAAATATGGGATTTCTTTCCATACTGTGATTTCACCTAGCTTTCTCTCATAATATTTTTTGAGTCATTGTAACTGACAAATCTTGGGTGAAAGTAAAAGTCGCCTTCGAGTAGATTTAATTGGCAGGCATTATAGAAGTGATTGGCTGTTGCCTTTTGGGGGTTGGGTTTTGCTTGTTTTGATTTCCCAGTCTGATCTGGGATTCATCCTCTCAAGATCTCAAATCCAAATATTAACCAGACTCAGCCTTTTTTTTTTGCCCAAGGAAGAAAATAATATGGGCTAGAATCAAACCATTTGCTATGACTTATTTCTAAAGGGATTCCCACCCCTTCATCCTCTGCTGGTAATAAAATCTCCTTAATTATTTAGAATTTAAATGTATAAGATCACGTAATTCACAGAGACTCCGGACTGTATAGAATTAAAAACTGAGGCCAATTGCATTGCCCCCAGCAATACTCTCTCAGATTGACACACATCCTTGTTAACCCAGAATTTTGCAAAAAAAAGCCAGGTCTTTCATGCTCATTTAAAGACTGGCAAGGTTGTTGAGTTGTTCAAATCGCTTTGGGGATACTATTCCAGATGGCCGGAGCCGTAATAGAGGCAGTGTGCCTTCTATGTCCTACCGGAAGATATTGATTGGTTAATGGGCAGAACAAGAATTTTCCATGCCTGTATAATATGTAGAAATAGTTTCATGCTTTTTAGTTGCATATTACTCATACTCTGTAAACAATTGTTTTCTATAAGCAGTATTGTCTATGTGTACATTCACCATACAGACATTGTTAGCTAAGCTATGTCATTTGATATATGTACAATGATGCACTGAATATATTCAACTGCCATCATATGTTAAACGGATTTGTATTTCCCTAGACTAACCAAAGAAAAAGCCATCGCTTGTACAACTTGTGTTCAGGCTGGAATTCAACACAAAATATCTCAGGACCCTTCCTAATTAGCCACAATGTTTTGTTTTGGGTTTGCACAAGAATAAATCAGGGAAAAGTTGAAATAACAGCCTGAGCATATCCCCCTAGGAATTAACTCTAATCCCAATTTACTTGCAGTAAGTTTAAGCAGCTTCTGCAAAGGAAGATTAGTCAGAATATAAATTTTGATGAATTCTGAGGAGTGTGAGTTATCTTCTAGGCGGGTACAGTTATTAGAAAGCCAGCTAGTTGAAGCTGTGATAGAACAATGTAGAATATGTAGCAACTCAAAAATATATCCATGTCAACAAGATCAAAATAGTTGGGTCTGGAACCTTTGATTATTTCTCATCTTCCGAAGAGTGAAAGCAATAAGCTTTCTCAATTGCTTATGAACATTTTAATTAGGCAGAGCTAATATTTATCTATCCATAACTACCTCTCTGCCAGGAATTCAAAGTAGTGTGCATGTAAGGTCAT